AAGGCACAGAGAAGGCAAGTGGAACCCCCCAAGTAGTGGAGCTGAATTTCAGCCCAGCTGGAAGGGCGTGTGTCTGTGCCCTGACTCCTCTGCTCTGATGCCAGCATTTACCCTCCTCCCATCCCCACTGGTGTTGCCAATCTTCATCATCTTTACTGACTGACAAGAGAAAATACTCATTATTTTTGTTCATATTTATGTTTTATTATAAAATAGGCAAATATATGTTGATAATTCCAGTGGTCGTTTATGTATATCCTTTGCGCATTTTTTTTCTACTACCATCAAGCCGATTCTGTCTCTTTAATTGGCTTTCAAGTGAGATCTCTGTAGATCGGAATAACACTCCATCTTTCTTGTCTGCTGTGTTATCTTTGTCTTGGTTGGTTCTTTGTCTCTAAACATGGATACTGCATTCTATGTACTCTGCAGACATTTTACTTTTTTGTACAGTCACATTTATCAGTTTTTTTATTTGCAACTTCTGCTCCGATAATAGTCTACATCTTATCCTATACATATTTTATTCTAATATGGATATTTTTTAGAAAGTCATTTTAATCCATCTAGAATATAAAAGGTGTGAGTTAGACCTGTTATTTCCGCAAATAGCAAAGTCAAGATCCCAACTATGTTTTTATAAATAGAAGAAATAAATTTTTTTGTAATTTGAAAGACAAAAAGCTGCCAGAGGAGTGTGAGAAGCAAAAACAGAAGAGAAATTGTAAGGAAACAGTCCCCTCTATAAAACCCAAACTCCATGCTGCCAGTGGCGCTAGCAGTGCCCTTTCCAGAATATGGAGTTGGCTTGCTGGGCACTTACCAGGAGTTGCCTCTCTGCTCCCTGAAGCTTTCTTCTCCTGCCTCTTCATCTGTCTCCTGGCACAGCCCTGGCCACTCGCCCTCCACTGCACAGTGATGTCCATTTAGTTTTTCACAGCAGACTCATCTTTGTTTGGCTTGTGCCACAGATTTGACCAGGATTTTTCACTGAGAACTTCTTAAAAACCAGAAACGAAAAAGTGGGCAGAATAAAATATATGCTTCCAAAGAGGTGTTCTTGTTCTCAAGAGGCCCCACTCACACCCTCAAGGAGGCCTGGCACCCTGGCAGTGGCTCCTGACTTGGAAACATAGCCCACATCTGTCATCTTAGCCTGGGGTAGACTCCGGGCCACATAGCTGCCAACCCTCTTCTTGCTGCCCCTGGGCTACCTACTTTCCTGTCCTCCCTGCTCTGTCCCTCAACCTGGGCATTCAAAGGACAGTGAGGAGGCTCCTCTGTCTGTGTGGCTCATCACCTCAGCTGAGCATGGAGACCAGTAGGACTCCGCATAGCACAGAGGCTGAACCTCCCGTAGGTGGAGGAGGTCAGCAGTCAGGACCCATTGTGACTGCTCAGCTCTGTCCTCGGTGGTGTTGCATTCCATGATGATTTCTAAGTTGCTTTTTCTGTGTTCCCCACATTCTTTGTGCATTTGCCTTGTATCATTTTCCCCTTGCTGACCTGTTTCAACTTACTACAACACCTCCTTTTGTCTTATACTGGTATGTCCAGCATGCCCCGACCCTTTATTGTAGTTTGAGAGTGCCCAGGAATACCCCACCCTGTGATGCAGCATATGTAAGCATTTTAGACCAAAGCCCCAGTGACCTAGGAAAACAGTGTCTCTTGAAAAATAGATGAGACAACCCTGAACTTTTTCTTAGTCAAAGGCTGTCTGTATTCCATGCATTTAACATATTATTTCATTTAATTTAACATACTATTTCTTCAAGGTGGCTATTACTTCCTTTTTTTTTTTTTTTAAGACGGAGTTTCACCATGTTGGTCAGGCTGGTCTTGAACTCACAACCTCAGGTGATCTGCCCGCCTTGGTCTCCAAAGTGCTTGGAATACAGGCGTGAGCCGCCATGCCCAGCCCAAGGTGGCTATTACTTCCATTCTGCAGATGATGAAGACTGGGTTCAGAGAGGCTAGGTAACTTGTCCAAGGCGATTCATCTTGTAAGTGGTGGAGCAGAGATGTAAACCAGGTAAATTCCTTTCTCTTAGTGAATAGAATATAATTCTCTCAGTTCATTAGGCAATTTACGGTTGTTTTATGTCTTCAGAGCTGAGTGAGAGATTTTAATCACTCCAATTTGAATTTTAAACAAAGAACTTGTGTTAAAGCCACTTAAGAGGGGATCCACAGGGAGGGGAGACTGATTCTTGCCAGAAGTTGTTCAATGGAATGCAGAGTGAATTAAATTGGACATTAGGAGACCAGGCTCCAGTCCAGGCCCTGCTACAAGAAGTCTTTGTAAATTCCACCTCCCTAGACCTCAATAGCCGTCTCTGCAAAGTGGAGAGGGACTGACCATCAAAAGCATGACAAGTAGGTTGCAATCCCCATGCCCATTCTAGAGAGAACATCGCTCCCTAGAATGCTGTGTTGAAATTAGCCTTGTTCACAGACATCATGATCTTATATTCAGAAAAAACTAAAGACTGCACCAAAAAACTCTTACAACTGTTAAATAAATGTAGTAAAGTTGCAGGTTACAAAATCAACATATAAAAATTAGTAGCATTTCTATGTGCTAACAGCAATCAATCCGAAAAACAAATAAAGAAAACAATCTCATTTACAATAGCTACAAAAAATGCCTAGGAATCATTTTAACCAAACAAGATAAATATCTCTGTCAGGAAAACTATAAAACACTGATAAAAGAAATTAAAGAGGACACAGACAAATAGAAAGATATCCCATACTCATTGATTGGAAGAATTAATATTGTTAGAATGACCAGACTTACCCAAAGCAATTTACAGATCCAATGCAATCTCTGTCAAAATGCCAGTGACATTCTTCACAGAAACAGAAAAAAAAAATCTGAAAATTTGTACGTAACCACAAAAGATTTAGAATAGCCTAAGCAATCCTGAGCAAAAAAACAAAGCTGACAGCATCACAGAACCTGATTTCAAATTACACTGCAAAACTGTAGAAACCAAAACACCATGGTACTGGCATAAAAACAGATGCACAGACCAACAGAATAGGATAGAGAACCCAGAAATAAATCCATGAATTTCCAGCCAACTCATTTTTGACAAACTCATCAAGGACGTATATTGGGGTAAGGACAGTCTCTGCAATAAATAGTGATGGGAAACCTGGATATCTAGATGCCAAAAAAATGAAACAAGATCCCATCTCACACCATTTACAAAAATTAACTCAAATTGGATTAAAGATTTAAATGTAAGACCTAAGACTATGAAACTAATAGAAGAAAACATTAGAGAAATGCTGCAGGGCATCAATCTGGGCAAAGATTTTGGGAGTAAGGCCTAAAAAAGCATGGGCAACAAGAGCAAAATTAGACAAATGGGATTATATAAGCTAAAAAGCTTCTGCACAACAAAGAAAACCATTAACAAAGTAAAAAGACAACCTGTAGAATGAGAGAACTATTGGCAAATTATCCATCCAACAAGAGATCAGGAACCAGAATATTTAAGGAATTCAAACAACTCAATGTTTGATAATCAATGCAAGATAATCATAATAATAATCTGATTTAAAAATGGCCAGAAACCTGAACAGACACTTCTCAAAAGAAGACATACTAATAGGCAACAGGTATATGAAAAATGCTCAGTATCACTAAGCACCATGGAAATGCAAGTCAAAGCCAAAATGAGATCTCATAATAGCCACAAATAACAAATGCTGATGGGAATGCAGAGAAAGGGAACCATTCGTACACTGTTGGCAGGAATATAAATGAATACAGCCACCATAGAAAACCGTACAGAGGTTCCGCAAAAAACTAAAAGTAGAACTACCATATGAGGCAGCAATCTCACTGCCAGGTATGTATCCAAAAGGAAGAAAAACAATACATCAATGAGATATCTGTACTTCCATGTTTATTGCAACACTATTTACAATAGCCAAGATATGGAATCAACCTGAGTGTCCATCAATAGATGAATGGGCCAAGAAAACATAGCATATATACACGTTTTATGTATAGTGGAATATTATTAGTTCATAACACTATTCAGCCATTAAAAAGAGTGAAATTCTGTAATTTGTAACTATATGGATAGAACTGGAGGTCATGATGTTAAGTGAAATAAGCCAGGCATGGAAAGACAAATACTGCATATTGTCACTCCTATGTGGGAACTAAAAAAGTGGACCTAGAAGAGATAGAGAGTGGATCGATGGTTACCAGAAGCTGGAAAGGCAAGTGGGGGGTGGGGGGGTGGCAGGGAACAGTTAATAAAGAAAACTTTGCTAACAGGTGCCGAAAAAAATTAGAAGTAGAAATAAGTTCTAGTATTTGATAGCCCAGTAGGGACATTATAATTATAATTGACAATAAATTATTTTCTATTATTTCAAAGTAGCTAGAAGAATTGCAGTGTTTTTAACACAAAGAAAACATAAATTTTTGAGGTGGTGAATATCCCAATCACCCTGATTTGATCATTATACATTGTATGCTTGTTTCAAAATATAACTTGCATTCCCAATTATGTATAATTATAATATATATTAAAAATATATATCCATTTAAAAAGAAATGCTGGGCTCTAAGTCCCAAAGGAAGAGCTCCATGATAATGACAGAAATCTGCTTTGCACACAGAAGATCAGAGTAGTAGTACATATTGCATGCTTCTTCTAGTCTTTAAATCAGGAAACCACTGAGATCCCTCTAAGCAGTGATATTTGTGGCCACACAGAGCTTCCCCTTTGGCCTTGTCTAAATTGAACAGCCTCGTAAATGTAAGTCCACCTGGACTTTTCTGGATGGGAGATGTTGTAGAACATGAAAATAGTGAGATGGTTGCGCTGTTCTTCAATGGGAGTCAGGAAATTTCACAGGATAAATGCTTTAGGACTTTCTTCTCAAACTGCAGGCAGGGATGGAGGAATGGTGCAGTGTTTGAAGCTGTAGAATACACGTGTCAGGAATGTCCATCTCCTTCACTCGTTGGAAAATTCAAAGTAAAACATATTCACATGATTTATAAAATGGAGCTTCAAAGAAATTCAGTGTTTGCCCAACCTGCTCTGCTCCCAAAACCCTACATGGGCTTCCTCCTTTTCCCGTTAATGAAATTCCATGGAAAACTTGGAAAGCACCAGGAGAACAGCACCAAGAACATGATGACCAAATAGAAGTTCAACAGGGAAAACAGATATTGGTGGAGGCCCCAGGAACTTGTCTCTACAGAGGAACAGCAGCACTTAGCACTAAGAGCCATGCCATGACCCCAGGGAAGCTCTAAAGAGTTAGGGACTCCAGATGGGCCTGTGAGACATGTTAGCATGAACTCTGCTGAGTTACATGCCTGAAAGGGCACCATTAGTGCTGGTGGGGATGGCATGGAGGGAAACCTCTCTTGTTTCTCTCCTGTATTCTCTCCTTGATCTACCCATAGCTATTCATGTGCTACAGTCTCCGTCTTCCAAATGGCTCTCAGGGCAATTTATTCATTTGACAAGTATTTATTGAACATCTGCTATGTGACAAGCATGGTCTAAATTCAACAATATATTTAATATCCTACAAGCATCTCGAACCCATTTTGCCCATGACCCCCTCAAGCCTGGTCCTCCTCTTCTATGTCCTATCTTAGTAAATGCATCATCATCACCCAGTGATTCACGCCAAAACCTGGGCATCATTCCCTTCCTCCCTCTCTGACTCTCTCCAGCACCTAGTTCATCTCTAAGGCCTGTTCAACCCAAGGACCTGGGATCCAATATGGGACCAACCCAGATACTGGGCAGAAGAGGCGCCTGTAGCTTCCTTAGTTCCCAGTGACCTTACTAGGATCACCCCAACACCCTTGCTCCTCAATTCTCAGTGAGTCCTAAGCCTCTAAATCTTCTGCACACAGACTTGCTCTCTCTTTCTGCTCCAGTCACCTGGACCTCCTACGCTTCATCTCCTTCTAGACCTGGAACAGCAACTATTTTGCTAAATGATATGCGTGTCTTGCCTGGACCTTCCCTCCTGTCCTGGATGAGCTGAGCTGTAGCCGCCTTTCAATTCTCAACCCTGGCCAGTCCCGACCAGCCTATATTCAGGCTTCCAACCTACGCATCCCACTTTCTAGCTGACTGCTGCCCACCTATTCCCATCTCCCTACATGTTTTTCTGAACAAGTATATGACCTACCTTCTCCTGCAAGCTAGACAAAATAGTAGAGGTAATGTGTAAAGTTGGTTTTGTTTTCTTTTTTGTTTTTGTTTTGTTAAGAATTCTAGTGATGCTGTTCAAAGAGGTGACAGCAGTGTCCAGCCTACTCCCAGAATGCCCAGCTATACAGGATAACTGATTGTCCTGACCAATTCCCTTAGCACAGGGTGCAGGCTGCAAATGCGTATTAGGAGAAAGCAGGAGGGAAATTCCTAAATCACTGTATTGACAGCCTCAGCTACAACTACTCTGGCCCTCAGACACAGGGAGGCTTTTTGCACTGCATTCCCACACCATGGGAAGCTTTTCCTAAACTCCACTCATCATTCACCTTCTCAGGGAGGCTCCTCTTGACCCAAACCAGGGTTCCAGCCATAGCTGCTGTCTTATACCTGCTTGTGTGGTCACTTCAGTGGGGGTGGTCTCTCCACTCAACTGACTTGTGAGGGAAGCCATGTCCATGTTGACTCCCCACTGCATCTTCAATGAAGGCCACAAAGCAAGCGCCCAGTTATATTTGCTAAGTTAATGCCTAAAACTGGAAAACTCAACTGTTACAATAACAATTGCAGGCATGTGTGGCTTTACAACAGAGATGCATTCTGAGAAGCTCACGGTTAGGTGATTTTTGTCATTGTGTGATCATAGAGTGTACTCACACAAACCTAGACGGTGTGCACTGGAATGTGATATAATGCATGGGATCCAGGACTCGTATTCGGTACCCATCTTTCTACCCATCTGCCTTTAGGGAAGTCTCTCCTCAACTCATGTGCTAACCCATAGCCCAGGAAGCTAGATGGGAGTGGGGAGCAGTAGGGGTGAGGCTGGTGGCAGAGGCTGCCCACAGACCTGTTTTGTTTGGTCAATGTGTCATTTTAGTTGAACTTGAATGCCCCGGAGTCAACAAAAACTACAACTTTCAAGCTGCTAGTACCATCCAATCTCCATTTTCAGTTCTCAGGATCCAATTAAGCCTTAAAGTTACCTGCTTGGAGTTAGTAAGCTCTTGAGCCTTGAAGCCCTGGACGAGCTACCTCTGACTGTACCCTAATTACTCAGGATTCCCAAACATTCTGATTTCTTTCCTTCTCCCCACACTTCTCAATGAGCCCAGTGTCTGCCAGGGCCCAGGTCTGCAGCCTCAGCAAGACCCATGTTACATGTGACATCTCACTTGCTGTGCCAGTACATGTAATGGTTTTTTTTGGAGTATTTTTAGGATAAGCACTCAAAGATGTGGGGAGACCCTCAGGAAAAAAAAGGCATCTATAAAATACTTTGCAGAATTCAGAGGAATTTGAACCATATGTTTCTACTTCTTTTACTGATTCTTTTACAAGTAAACCATTAAAATGCACTCCTCTAAAAGCTGTTTGATGTCCCAAGAGCGCCCAAATATTTTACAAGCAGTTTTCCTTAGAATCAAAAGGATGTGTTTAACTTACCTAAGAGGTGTGGAAGACACCCAAATCCAAAGGAATTTTTGGTAACTCTTGAATCATACACAACAAATTGCCTGCCTCTAACTCTTCGTGTTGGATTAAATTTGTAGCTGTCATGGTGAAACTACCCTAATTTGGTTTCTGGGTGCGTTAGAAGGAATGTTCCTGGAGGGAGCCAGGACTGCAGGAAAGTTGCAAAGTCTGTAAATATAGCTCTTCTGCTGCTGGGTCCCATTCTCTCAGCTGAAGGTTGCTATGGAGCAGGCAAAACATCATCAAGGTCAGCATGAATCACTTACTTATCTCAAGGACTCCCTCTCACATTTTCTCTTGCAAATGTGTGAGGGTTTTTTTTTAAACATAAAAAATAAATGACATTTATTTTTCCATTCTAATCAACAGAGAATAATCATCTCACTTCTCCAAGCAGACATGAGTCCAGCAGAAACCCAAGACATTCTACATCTTCACGAGCCTGCTCTATTTTGTTGAGAGTCCATTTATGATTTAAACTTTGCCCATTCGAAACAGCTGTGATTCTCCCATCTCCAGTTTATGGGATTCTTAATGGACATGTTTTCCATCCGTGGTATTACTTTTTATTATGAAAAATAAATGAATACAATAGTAGGTGAAATATCTCAATTTGTACAGTGGTTTACTCTTTACAAATTCCTCATGAATTATCTGGCTTAATTCTTGCTTATTATTCTTACAAAATCTCTTGGACTACTACCTTCTCACCAACCCCGTCCTGCAGAGCCTAGTAATGTCCTAGGTGAGAAGTTTCAAAAAGGCAAAGCTGACAGTCAGTTTTCTTGATCAAAAAATTAATTCACTTTCTGTTTTAGGGTTTTCAAGTACAAAATACTCACCTGATCTCCATAGCACAGAGAATCCACCCAGAGAATATTTGTGATTGAATTAGTGAGTGAGCAAATGACCCTCAGGCCAGGGAATAGTGGGGAGCAACCTGGAACATAAGCATTCAACTAGCCTCTTGTGAGGTCAGCCCAATGGCAGAGCCAGCCTTTCCAGCCAGTAGATGAAAACCTGTTGAGGCTAGAGAGACGTTACAAGTAGGGCTGACCTGGTTCATCGCACTTCAAGAAAAATAAGCTAATTAGATTAGGAGCCTTCTAGAACTGCTAAATTATCCAGGGTAAAAAATACTCTTGGGTACCTGGTTCTTCTCATGGTGAAAGAGCTGTTGAGACAAAAGACAGCGTTTTGCTGTAATTACTGGTTATCCAATCCTTTGCAAAAGGCCTCGATGTGAGCAGTGTCAGGGTGATTAGACATGGACTGTGGCTTAGGTGCTTTGTACAGTGTGATCATGAACATGAGTGCTGTCTCTGGCTCCAGCCGCACTCCCACCTTCCTCCAGGCTCAGAGCACAGCAGGAGGGAGACTCTGCGGACTCAGACATTGCCCAGGTCCTCAAAGGTCCGAGAGTGTGTTCTTCTAGGCTCAGGAGCAAGGATTCCCATAGGGCAGTACCAAGTCCTTTACAGAATTTCCACGTGGCCTAGCTGCAGCTCAATCATCATCCAGCCTTTCCAGCCTAATATCTCTTCACAAAGAAGGAGACGCATTCCAGGAGATGAGTTCTGCTTTCTATCTGTCATCCATCAAAATTGCCCTGGTAATCTCCAGACACAGGCTGATGAAATAGCTTCCTTGAAATTATTATGCAAAATGATGCTTTAGAAAAAACAGGAAGGACTTTTTGACATCCTTAACATGGTCACAGCCTCAAATTATCAGAGATCCAATATTATCAACACTGTTCTGTCTGGTCATTATTTGCATCACATCCAACTCGTGGTCAGCCTGGCTTGGAAGGGAGTCTTGGATGCTCCGGATTTGCCCAAGGCCTCAGTCTTGAATCCCAAGTCTCCTCCATCTGACACTGTGCTTCCCAACCAGATGCCTGATCTGTGGTCATCCAGCCTTAGAAAATGTTCTTGTGGTGGGCCTCACCTGTACTTTCCTACCTCACACCACACACACACGCATGCAAGCACACAAAGACATGCACTCATACACACGTGCATACATGCACACATATGCATACACATGCACACACACAGACATGAACTCATACACACACAAGTGTCTGCATGCACACACAGGCACACACAGACACACACTCATACACACATGCATACATGCACACATTCGTGCACACATGCACTCATACACAGGCACACACACTCATACACATGCACACACACACATACACAGACATGCACTCATACACACATACGTGCCCACTTGCACGCGTGCACACACACGCACACACACCCCTCTGGAAGCTCTGTGGATGCATTCCCTTTGAATTATTATGGTGATACCTATTGCAGAGAGAGCGTTCACTGTCTCTTCCTGGCATCAGGTGCAGATCCCAGCTGCCAAGTCCTCTTTCTCTCGGTCATGGTCCCTGCTGTTTCCCACCCCACCCAGGACTGGGCCCCGCACTGTCCTGCACACATGCTAATTACAAGTGTGAGAATCAGAGGGACCTGCCTTCTGATCACCTCTCCACTGCATAGTAACTGAGATAACTTGAGCAATTGCTTGGTCACCTGATCCAATTTTAACTTAACATGAAAACATCTTATCTTGAGGGATCATTGACAAGGATTACATGAAACGATCCACAACAGGCCCTGACATTGCTGCATCTGTGTGCATCATCCGTCTCTTGCATGGTCATCGTGACGTGGCGCCTCCCTGCTGTCTCACTGGAAGGGAGTTTAAACGCCAGAACTGGGCTGCTCTGGTTTCTCACAGACAAGGCAATTCCTTGTACTGTTGAATCATGTCAGAACCTTCCACACCCCTGGAATTTGCTCCCCTGAGCAGGTCCTGTCCCACAGAACCTGACACGTGCTCTCTGTCCTCACAGCAGACTTCCTCAGCCCTGTCTGGCTGGAGATCACGGCACCATGCCCGTCAGGGTCAGGCCTCCCCACTCGGGTTCAGTTCTTCCCAACCCACCCTCAGCACAGCACTGCCAGTTTTAACTCTCATGTTTGGGGACACAGAAAAGGTTATTTCTGAGAGGCTAGAAAAGAGGCTCCTACAGATTGTATCCAAGATAAAGAAGACTATTTGAATCCTGCTGATTTGATTCAACTCTGCCTACATATTCCCTGAGAAGTGACGGAGGAGGGAGACTACCTTTTAGTTCCAATTATTACTTACTATATCTTACTATATCTCTGACTGTCTGCTTCCCTGTCACCCTCTCTCTGCATCAGTGTGCTAGGGCTGCATAACAAAGCACCAAGCTGGGTGGCTTACACATAGAAATTTGTGTTTCACAGTTGTGGAGGCTGGAAGTCCAAGATCAAGATGTTGCCAGGGCGGGTTTCCTGAAGCCTCTCTCCTTGGCTTGCAGATGGCCGTCTCCTCCCTGCTGCTTCATATTGCTTTCCCTCTACAACTGTCTGTCTCTGTGTCCAAATTTCTCCTTTTTATGAGAACACCAGTTATATTGGATTAGGACCCACCCAATGACTTCATCTTAACTTGATTGCCACTGTAAACACATTACTTCCGGTAAGGTCACATTCTGAGGTGCTGGGGGTGAGGATTCCAGCATGTCTCTTCTGGAGACACAGTGCAACGTGAACCACCACCCTCCCCACCGGAAAAGCTCACACGGCCCCTGATGCTCACTTCCCCACCTACATTATCCCTTGTCTCCAGTCTTTTCCCAGCTCCCAACCCTTAAATAGATCTTCAAAATGCCTCCTAACCAAAAGTCTTAATTTTAAAAACCACCTAGCTAGTGTCTGATAGGCTGAACCAATTCCCTGCATGATGACCCAGGGCGAAGCAGTGCTGAGGTCTGGTCTCTGGCCTAGGTTCTCATGCTCAGGTGACTGGGAAGGGCAAGTATGAGGGTGAAAGCCATGCACAAACCTGGAAGAACCCAGGGGCGCTGAGCTTGGCAGACGGAGAGTTTGTCCAGAGAGAGCCTCAATGGGTCAGAAGTCATGTGGCTGGTAGCCAGGAGAGGGGTTGCACTGCAGCACACAGGTCCCTCTCTTCCCCCGTGTGGTGAAATATCGCGGTGCATCACACACACATTGATTCCGTGTGTTCTGTGGCATGCTGAAGACTTTTCTATAAAATAAAGAAAAGACCATAGAGTTATTGCAGCTTCTTTTTTTACTCATGATGCCAGAGCCATGGTGATATGGACTGGCCACGTGTATGAGAAGGTGCAGCTCACAGGGCCTTTCCTACGGCTGGATGATGGCTTTCCTTTCTTCTGAAACTATGAAAACCATGTGCCTCAGTCCTCTGGACTCCACCCCTTGCTCCAGAAGGCTGGCCTCTTCTCCTCCTCTGTTGAGAACAGGGAAACCATTGGAAGGGAGATCGTTAACTTCCTGAGATACTTTCCAACCTCTATGTCCATCTCGTGCCCCCATATCTGGCTCAGTCCTCCCCTTCAGCTTCAAAACCCATCCACTCCATCTTCTCAAAAACAGTATCTTAATGATGATCCTTTCTCCCTCCTTATCCAAACCTCTTCCTCTCAGCTGAATCTTTCCAATGCATTAGCCTAGGAGCACTCTCACATCTCTCTCTAAACTGCAACCAGAAACCCCCACCCATCAATTTCCCCAAACTGTCTATCTAGCCCTTTCCATCTTTCAGTTTTCACAATCAAATTTATTACACAGCATCTACCCTTGCTGTCTGTTTTCATTTCTTACTCACAAGAAATATGACCGAATAGGAAGTATTGTCTATGAATGTGATGTCACAGAGGGAGACATCACATCTGGAGCATGATGTCCAGAGAGAGGAGTCCTGGGTGGGCCTCCGCTTTCCCCTTCGCTCTCTTTCTGAATGTGATGTGATTCTCCTGGCAAGGCCACACACAGATGAAGCATCAAGGTGCCCACATTCTCTGCAGTGCTCGTGGACTCCTGTCTTTGACCTTGCTCTCCTACTCCTCACCACGGAGTAGCCATGGCTATGCTTTGGTTTAAAGGGAAGTGCTCTGTTGTGTGGGAAGCTGAAGGTTGGGAATTGGCTTTCCTGAGCAAACCTCAGTGGGCTGGATGTTGCAGAATCCCCTGGACCTAGCAAAATTGATCAATCTACAGGGAAATTAAAAGCCAGGATCCCCAGATAGGACCCCATACCTGAGGAACATCAAGGTTTGGGGAGGTCTGGGAAGCCAAGCCAAAGATGAACACTTAGCCATGGCTGCATTTTCCAGTGGGAGTCCATTCCTCTGAAATGAGAGAAGAGAAAGCTGGAAGCTCATCCACGGACATGTGCCTGGTCCTGCCTGACTCTGAGAAACACTGGAAAGAACAGACTCACCGTGGCTTTCCTATCCAGGCCATTCCATAGGCTATTTCTCTCAATATCCACTCAGATTCATTGCAGCCAGAGATTTACGCTCCAAGTTAAGACTTCTGAAAGCAAATATCACAAGTGTAAGGCCGGTTGCCTCGCTGGGAGGCTGGACACACCCACCTCTACACTCAGTACCTGACTCTGCACCCGGCACCAGGCTCTGCACTCGGCACCTAGCTCGGCCGCACTGCTGCCCTGGAAGGCTCCTGCTGATGCAACCCTGGCCGGCTCCGGAAAACCCGCCCAGCAACCCGCCAACCAATAGCAGCCCGTCCCTTCCCAATCCCGCTCCCCTGGAGCCAATCAGAGCACCCAGCTGTTGCTCCTTCCTCATAGCCGTAAAAACCCCACGCCCCAGGAAGTCAGCGCAACTTCTCCGGCCCCTTGTGTCGTACTGCGGAACCTCGCCCAGGAGCCGATTGAATTTCTTTATTTCAATAACTGGCCTCAGTTGCGACATTCGAACCTCAGTTGCCTCATTCAAACCTTACAACAAGCATTTGCCCTATTGTTCGTTCTTTTCTTTCCTTTCTTCCTGAGTCTCATCCCCAGAAGCCCAGTATCAGCTCAGCAATAGAGACTTTAAAGCAGGTTCTCTCTTAAACCAGGCCAAAGGATGGATATCAGTCCTAGTTTTAAAGACCTTACCTATTGCCTGCGTGCCTCAGGGCTCCTATGTCCCCAGCCAAACCATGCAGCCCATAATAGAATCCCTGGGTAAGGGGAATGCTATGTTTTAACTAAGTTTTCTTAAGGACAGAAAGTAACTTTACCCATGGTCCCCAGTGAAGTCCCCCAAACACTCTTGCCTTTTCTTCTGGGCTGGATATTTCCAACCTCTTAATCATTTCTGGGTCCATTCCCAAGGCTTCCTCTGGCTTCTCTCAATCTCGCCTAAAAACCTTCCTTTTGCACTAAATAAAAGGCAAGCTGAAACATTCCCTGGACCCAGAAGGCTCTGGCTTTGTATGGCCTGCAATTTTTCAAGACTGAAAAATAATAATAATAAAAAGCCAAAAACTTTCTTTGAGAAATGAGTCAGAGGCATTAAAGTAACTCCCCTCGCAGTGATTTTTGTCTCCCTGGGCTTGATACCTTGAATCTGCTTTAGACATTTCATATGCTGAGAAAAGATCTGAAATGTTAATGCCTCTGGATCCTGCTACAGTTTACAGAAAGCACCTTTGCTTTCAAAAGCTTCTGTGTTAATCAAAGGTGATTAAAACCAGGTCCCTGCCAAGGGTGTTCTTTCACAGCTCCAAAGAAGTAAGGAAAAGCAGAGATGATTATCTGGCCAGCTCGTCAAAGATTTGCTCCTTTCTATAAAAATATACATGCTGACAAAACAAGGGCTGTGGATTTACAATTTGTCTGATTTGATCACCTTTCAGCACAGGAAAACCTGGCTTGCATATCCCATTAGAGGGGCTGCCATGGGGCCTGTCCATGGAAGACAAGGCCCAGCCTGGGATCCACGACCAGAGATCAAACTCTGATGTCATTTTGAATATCACCTTCAGAATCCTGCTTGAGTGTTCCAGCCCCCGCCAGGCAGAATTGGTCCCCTATTCTCTATACTCCTGCAACCCTTTGGTTGAACGTTTGCAGCACAGGATCTGTTGTGATGTGTATATTTGTCCTGGACCATGAGTTCCTTGTATCATCAGTAAGAGTCCATGCAACATTTTCAGATTTGCTACCCACTTCTCCCTGGAAAGCCAGGAGCATGCTCTTTGTTCTAAAGACACATGAAATGGAAAGAATCAGTGTCTTCATTTCTGTATAGACACAGCCATCCTCATCCAGGCTATTAAAAAGACAATTACCTGTAAGACAGATGCAAAAGGCACCTTTCTTCATGGGTAGGGCTCAATCACAGAAGATGTATAGAGCCAGAAGACTCATGGAAGCCAGAAGTGGGGATATGCTCATGGGGCCAGCTTCAGCTTTTTTGTCACACCCACACTCTTCTGGAAAAACCTTAGGAAAGAATGTTTTTAACCCTATTAGAAATCAAAAATGCAAATTAACATAATGAGAGGCTATTTGCTATCTATAAAATTAGCAAAAGTTTTTTCAGAATAATGAACAATTTTGATGAGGCCAACATCTGATAGTTACTCTCATTCAGTACTTTGTGGGTGGAGAGAGGGGGATGCATGCATTTGTACCCATTTACCCAAAAACAGAATATTTTTGAGGAAAGTAGTCGGAGATGTAAAACAAAGATATATACTTTAATATGTGTACTGAAGCTCTATTTTAAATACATAAATTGAAGACAAAATCAAAGATGTAACTAGAGTGGCGACATGTTAGTGTATGCTAAGCTATGCAGGAGTCATGAGTAAATGTCAAAATTTCGGTACTCAACACACAAAGGTCTATTTCTCAGTTAATGTCTTATGCGGTTTGAGTATCTCCAAGCAGATTTCTCCCAAGCAGTGACTCTTAGATCCAGGCTGCTCCCAACTTGTAGTTCTGCCACCGACAGCTGCTGATGTGGGGCCAGATATGCCAGGCACAGAAGTGGCATCCATAACTTCAGTCCACAACTGTGGTCCAGAACTCAAACCGCAAGGGAGATTTGGAAATGCAGACTTACCAAGTGCTCAGAGAGAGGAAATGGTATGGAGAACCTGCAGCACTGACTACCACCAATGGCTAAGTGAAAAATCACAGGTTCATACAAGGCAGCATTGTGCAGCCATTAAAAGTAGGATCCCAAAGAATGTTTAATGAGATGTAAACATCTTCCCAACCTATGATGGCAAGAAACACAGGGAGGTCATAGCAAATAACTATAACTGTGCACTTTTGTTACAGTTCCAAAACTGTAACTAACACGCATATTATTTCAAATTGTTCCCAAAACATGCAAACCTGTATATGTGTATGTTCATCCTTGACACCAGCATGTTGCGGGCTATTTCTAGGTTGAAGTGATTTGTTTCTTCTTCATTCTTTATTAACTTTCCCCTAATTTCTCTTTAATGAGCACACATCATTTTCCAAATAAAAAATAAGTAAGAGTTATGGTTAAAAGTGTAGTTGATACGTATGCTACATATCACACAAGTAACCAGCAGTAATAATAAAGCAGCTGTGAGGAAACTCCTGCTGTAATAGATCAATCCCAATTCCCAGACCTGAGCTGGGGAACTTTGCAAAGAACTCCTGCAGCCCCATGAAAAGCCCTGCTGAAGTGTGGCATTGTAGTGATGGGAGTATTTGTACCGGGGACAGAAGAGTTTTAGAAAGAACAGATAGGATAGTATCCTGGCAAGAACATAAGCCTCAGAGGTAGAGGATGAGGGCTCTTTTCCACACTTTCACATTTATGGCCCCTGAGAAAGGGAAATTTACTTCTAAGTTTTTTCTCCAGGGTTGCCGTGAATATATACAAGTTTTCCCAAAATGCCTTCTGAAGGTATCCTTGATAAAAGCATTCCATAACTTAGGGACAAGTTGGAATAAGTTATGTGACAACTGCTGCAGGACTTCCTGGAGCTCTAAATACACTAATGTGTTTCTTAAGTCTCCTAGAAATGGTATAGGCTATTAGCATTTTCCAAATTCCTTCACCAAGAAACCTTTATTCAGAAACATCCTATGGAGTCAGAACATTATTAAGCACTACAGAAAAATGTACACTTACTGAGATACTTATATAATAAGTATGTGTGCCTATATCAGGTTCAGTGAGGGCTTGTCCATTCTGCATTATTTAAGGGTATTTCGTAAAACTAGGAGGTCACATGGCAGGGTCTCAGCTTGAGCCTCGGCTGTGTTTGCTCCATGATGCAGTTTTGGCACATCTGGAGGATGACAGGATGGGCTGTTGGGACTACCTTTATTAAGAATCATGGACTCTCCTGAGATAATCCTTGTCCTAAGGAAAAGTTAGGGAAAATTTCCAGGCTCAGGGTGATTCAGAAGATACCATGGCGTCTTTCACTAGGATTGTCCTCCAATTCCTAGAATCCACCTAAATCTTAGGACAAACACATGCAATAAAGCCATGTGCCAGCTGAACAGGAGGGGATGTGGTAAGCAGCTGTTTGACATGATGGGACAGATCACAGGCATCAGGAGAGACAGGGAAGAGTAGGTACTACACAGTGGCCCAGAAAATGCGTGAGTTACACCTGGGGCTCCCAGACTGTGATGAAGGGAATGGAGGAGGATAGGAACTGCTATGTCATGGGAAATATCAGAACCTTGGACACATGTTTTTTTCTTTTCATCACTCATGGCCACCTCTGCTAGGTGGCTCTAGGAACACGGTGAGAGTCAGTGCTCTCAACAAGAGCTCTTCTTGTTCTCTTCATATGTTCTTAAGTATAGGAACATATGGAAGTGTCTAGCATAGCATCTGAAACACAATAGCTACACAATATAATGATTGCAGGGACCTGGAAGGCAACATGAATGTAGCAGGGGATGGTGGAGTCTGTGGCAAATTGAAGGGCATTTGCACTCTTCTGAAAGAAAGCATGGCCTCACCTCTAGCAAATTGCTGTTATGCAAAAATTTGGGCCCAATGATGCCAGGTCTTCCAATTGTTCAAGAAATTAAGAAATTTGGATTTACCAGTTTCCACTGTGAGTTTCTACTTGCTCAGCCAAACACTCAGAGCCACGTTTTACTCTTCTGTTTCACACTCCACACAATCCGTCAGCAGAGCCTTCCACTTCTATTTCCAAATGCTTCCCAAGCCTGGCCGCTCATTGCCACCTGTACCCTGGCACCTTCCTGTCACCTTTCCCAGGATTTCTACAGTAGCCTCCTCACTGTTGTCTTTGATTCCACACTTGCCCCTGTAAACTCCATACTCTACAGAACCCCAGAGTGAACTCAATACAAAAATGGGTCACATCACCTGCTTTTCAAGTCTCAGAGGTTTCTCATAAGATGCACAATGTCAATACACTTACAACTTCTAGTAAGGTCTCCATCCCAGTCTGCCCTCCCCACTCCATCCCAGGCCTCCATCCCACCACCTCCCTCTCTCATTTCCTACCACTCTGCTCCTTGCACACTTTGCTTCAGCGAATTGTCTCCTTTCTGAACCTCTGAAACCCCAGAAATGCCCCAGCTCAGGTAGTTGATGTTGGCTGTTTCTCCTACCACGAACACCCTTGGCCCAGCCGTCCACGGGGCTTCCTGCCGCATCTCCTTCAGACCCTTGCTCAATGCCCTCTTCTGGATGAGGAATTCTCTGAGCAACCTATTAAAACTTCAGCCCCCTCCAACCTCCTCCATATCTCCT